TGAAAAATATACAAACCCTAAACTAGCAGACGCAGGAAGAATCAGTGAAGGGAGGTGAGATTGAGAACGATCGAGGCGATAGGGGAGGAAAAGGTTAGAAGACGAGCAAGAGATAGGAGAAAACCCTAACTGACGATCCAAAAAGTGGAACTGTGGCTCTAGAGAGAGAAAAAATCTCATGAAGACAACTCTCGCAGATGTACGCATTTTGGGATGTCCATCTTGTGGGAGCCTGTAAAGATCACGTTAAGTACAAGTTACGGATTAAACAACAACAATAAACACATGCGTATCTATTTGAATTCAAAGACTTACGACTTAAAAATTGCAGCTCGAGTAATCATCAGGCAGAAGGATCAATCAAATTGATATTTCCTTCTCCAAAACGCTCTCTAACACGTATAAATAGGGGTTCTTCTAAAGCCAAAAATGATACATCATAAATCAAATACTCAAGTTCAAGAGTGCTCAAATTTTCTTGAAGAACCAAAAGTGTTCTTGAAGATACAAGAAGTTGAAGATCGATGTTCAAGTTCAAGTCCCTCTCCAAGAAAGATAAAGAAGAAAGATCGTCAAGAAATCGTGTTGACTCAATCAAGTCCTAACATTCAAAACAGGAATAAGTCATTAGGCACTCAAATTAATGTTAGAGAAATTGAAGATCAAACCCAAAGAAAACTCAATTGTCAAATTCAAATTTGAAGATCAAATTCTAGTCCACGAAGAAAAGAATCAGAGGGTTTCATATAGAGATTGTACTAACAAAATTGTTTGATCGAAATAAAATCAAGTAGCACAAAAGTTTCATGTTTTTTCATAAAATTTATTACCATATGTCCCTCTCTCTCCCAAATTTATTAAGTAGAGGCATAGGGCAGACATATATAATTAAAGCATACAAAAACATACTCCTAACAAAAGAAAATTTCTTTAGAATATAAATGCAACTCTTTGTCACCTCAAAACAAAGTACTTGCTACAGACGTATTTAAAAGCTCAAACTCTAAGCGAGATAGGAAACAATATAAAGAAATAAAATAGAAAATATAAAAAACTATAAAAGGGCTAAAATGTGGAATTTGGGCCTAGTACCACTTACTCCAAAGCGCTAGGCGCGATGGACTCAATCTGAATCGTCATTCCGGTTTCAGAAACATATTATAGTAGAAATTCCGAGTCCAAATTCCGAAGTTATTACGTCCGTTTCGATTTATGCGGAGTGGTGACAAACATCCTTGGACGATACGCAACAACCCAAAATTCGTATTCTACATATTTCACATTAAATATTTGCAGAAAAATAGAACGGCAAATATGCTAATTTAGACCGAAAGAGAAATACCAATTCAGGCATACTTTTTTCAGTCAATTATGTCGTAAACATTGTATACTTTTCTCTTTAGATCACTTAACAAACCTCTTGCTCAGTGGCGAAACCAGCCGGTCATTCCGGGGAGGGCCCAATTTGCCGCGGCGCACCACCCCCACTCCGGCCATCCCGCGGCGCACCACCCCACTCCGGCATCGGAAGGGCGCTCAAAGGGCTTTTGTGGACGCTCTCAAAAAATTTCGCAAGATATAAAAGAATACTCTAGAGATTTTTCTAAAAATCAAACTAAGTCCGGAATTAAACTGGTATACTTAAACTGATTTGTTTTAACTCGAAAAATACTCGAATTTATACTAATAAAAATCTCAGACTCGATTATAATAATAATCAAGAATTATACATCCTTTCGAATAGACGAAAAGCTAAAAAATTTGAGAAAACGAAGCCTCGAACGATCGAACTCGTCCTCGACAAATTTGCTCCTTTTGATACTATTTAACGCAGAAATTCAAACTCCCACAATAAATGCTCGGAACTCCGAAAAATGCGAAATTTGTCCGTATGGAATCATGCTTGAATTGTCTACACGGTCCAACTCGATTCTCGTTAAACCGAGGTCACACGCAACCTTACGGAACTCCGCAAAACAGCTTTTTATTCTTCTATTATGCGCACTCGACTTCGAGCTTCTCAAAATAAATGCTCGAAACTTCGAAACGTGAAATAAATTTTACAAACGGCTTCTACTGTTCTCGTGCTTTCAAGAAAGCACTCCCGCTAATTTTCAGCACGCCTAACAAGGGCCGACGGTTACTCGAAGTCTAGACATGAAAGTGACAATAAAATCACCGCCACTGATATTTTTCTCTCAACTTCGGGCTACCCAAAATAAATGGTCGGGATTTCAAAATCATAAATCGATGCCAGCAACGCACTCTCCGCTTCCCGTACTTTCATAAAAGTACTTTTCGGTAATGATCGACTCAGTTTTTGAGTCCCGTCGGTACACCGCAAGTCGGCTAATTAACCAACTCAAAATATAATAAAAATGAAAAATTATTAAATTATGCTGCTGTTATAATTCTACTTGTCCCGAAACCAGGATCCCGTTTCGGGGAGGGCCCAATTTGCCTTTAAAAAAAAATTTCACGACAAAACCGGTGGCGCCCCTCCGGCCATTTATGTACCGCATGAAACCGGGGAGGGCCCAACATGCGCGCTCAAAGAAAAATCTTCCAGTTCCAGCAAAATCCTCCACCCCTAGTTTATTTATTTATTTTTTTTTTTGGATGGCCGGCGCCTCTCCGCCCCCCCACATGGTTTCGCCCCTGCTCTTGCTCAAATACTACTCTCTATATTTAAAGGTCACTTATAATATCCAAAAGGGTTAATTGCTAAATAAACCTTAACCTTTTTGCGTTTGACAATTTTATTTCAATCTTTGGGTAATTGTAATATAATCTCGACCTCTATTTACTTATTGCAAGTCGAACCTAAAACTGGTCGGACCTTCACAAAACTGGTCGATTTGAAGGCGGTTCGAACAGATCGGAGTTCATATTTAACGGTTCACTCCAGACCTAGGAGGAAACTCACCACCGGTAGCTTACATCGATATGAAATTTTTGGCTTTGTGTGTGGATATGCATTAAATACGTGGAAATTGTCAACTTGCTATGTGGGATGACATAAAAACCCGTGTCAATGGAAGACTTGGACACAAAATCGATCCACAAATCCCTAAAATCAATCACTCTGCACCCAAAATTGCAATAAGTAAATTGAGGTCGAGATTATATTGCAATTACCCAAAAGATCGGGATAAAATTGCCAACTGCAAAAAGATGGTTTATTTACCAATTAACCCTATCCAAAAATCAACCTTAAATCTGTTTCTATAAGCCGTATCATAGTACATTTTTGTGAACCACTTTCACTTGTTGCATTTATCTCAAAATATTCGCAATGTCCTTCGCCAAATGGAAAAACAAACGTAGTAGAAGTGTTCGTTTAGGCCAAAACACGTAAGTGTGTATCATAATAATGATAATTCATCCAACCCCAAATGGTTGATTTTCTGGCTAAAAATCACGATGGCCAAGAAGAAAAGCTCGGAAACTCCAAAGACTTATTATGATCATTAGAGTTATTTGCAGAATTTCGACGAGGGGCCGCACACAGGATCGAGCCAGATATTCTAATCCTTCAAGATTTAATTATCACGGAAAGAAATTCATGATATGATGTGTAATTTAATTTAATTTTATGGTATCTTGCAACTGTATGCTCAACTGGAAATTGAAGCAATATTCATTGTTGACCTATTATTGTTCATAACTGACGACACAGAACATAACTTTCATGGTTTGAAAGTACTATATTGTCGAACGACCGATTTTGCTATGAAGCCAAAAGTTGAATCCATCTTGGACTCAACCTTCTATATACAATAAGTAAACCTACCATATTCCTTTTTTTTTTTTTACCATATTCCTTGGTTACTTAAATAACACTTATATAATTTTATTAATATGGTATGATTTACTTGCTATATGTAGAAGGTTGGCTCCACTATGAAGCCAACTGTTGGTTTAATAGCAAAACCGTGTTAAAGACTTCAACACATATATGCAATGATAAATGCGCGGGAGTGTGTGTATTTACTCTAATGGCGATAAAATTGAGTGTGAATGAATAAGCAAATATAATTGCTATGTTAGCTTGATGAAATTATTTTTTTACTAGGTATTAGGAGGATGAAATTAGACACAATATGTTATTATTCTTTCAGTCAAATAGTAATTGCAATTGGTTTGAATAATTAGAGCTTATATATGTTTGCCGTCCTTCAAATTTTCTCACAAGCAATAAAAACCGTAGTGCAATTTTAAAATTTGGACGAAAAAAGAAAAAAACGATAAGAAAAAAGAGTGATGCTATATGTACAAATGTAGTTTGCAATATTAGATGACAACATTAGTTAAAACTTAAAAGTATCATTAAGTCAAATCTTAGTCATACATTTATTTGCATCTCAACCACTCAGAATATATCACATCATGTAGTCATATTGAATGTTTTACAAAAAAGTTGTACAAGTAGCTTTTTCCAAGGAAAAAAAAGGACAAAAATTGCTTGTATACATTTCGACATAACCTATTAAATGAAATAATTAATAAACACATCATTAGACTAAACTCTAAAGTAGTTAATGAATATATATCTTACCAGTTTAAGGCTAATTATAAGGTAGGTTATCGAGTAAATATAAACTGATGGGAAGCATGAGAGTCATACAATGGTTCTGAAAACAGGACCGGACTGGCCAGTTCAACCGGGAACCGGCCTTCATTCCGGTCCAGTTTGAGCCATCAAACCGCTAAGCAAGAGAACCAATTAAGAACCGTTCGAACCGGTCCAAATTATGAGGAATCATGGGTTGTTTTTGTTATTTAGCCATTAATTATGCATTCATCTAATAAAGTAACAAATTCTAGGTCCATTGCTTATCAGCAATCTTACAAAGTGAGAAGCTCATTCAACAGAAATTGCGAGCACCCAAATTCTTTCCCATATTTGATGTATTTTTCCTCAGCCAACGTTGTCATTCTTGGTAGAATCACAATTGTTTTGGTGACATGAATCAAAGTAACAAAGTTACTCGAAAAAATTATGCTGTAGACTCGGAGGGTTTAGCAGCCGCATGCTTGCAAGCAATTCCCTGTCTCTGCTTCTTCAACTCATCTCCCGCCACAAGAAAAAATGCAGTGTGCCTGCCAACAAATGAGTCGTAAACAGCACAAGAAAATGGTCCAATCGACCAAAATGCCATACCTTTTGAAGAAGAAAGCGTACTCGTTTAGCATGAAAAGTTAAAACTTACAACATACCAAAAAAAA